TATATCACTCGTTATGTTAAGTGGACGCACAATAGAAGGTTTTCTTCACCTGAACGTTGAAAACAGCGTGGAATAAAGCCAATACCAAAAATTGTATATAATAAGTGCTCAAAAGCACAAGGAAGTTTCATCAGAGTCGTTGACATTCGTCGTACAGCGGTGGTCGGATGGTCGAGTGGATAGCGTGATGGACTCTGGTTGGCACGGTTTGTTCGAAGTTGTTGGTTCGGTTCCCCTCCATGCTCGGACTTTTGCATTTTTCCGATTATCACTTTTCTGCATTTGCATGTGCTTGCGCGTGAACTTAAAGCCTATAGGTGTCATTTCCAAGAACTTTCTCCCACAATTCTGCGATGTTTCGTAGTACCATGTTTTTTCAGTTGTGTACGAAATTCCGTTTACAAGCAATAAATAACTAGCAGTTATGGTAAAACTCAATGAAGCATCTGAATCACAGGCGCAGATCACACCGACTGCATCTAACGAACGCCAGAAAAGTGAAGTTGCCATTTTCTTCGCAAGGAACACCTACTCCATTTCCCTTGAAGGCAGATTGCCGGCGTTGAGGAACGTCCAGGATGCTCGTCGACGTATGCCAGTGCCCACCCAGGCATACGCCATGCATCGACGAGATCAGGGTGATGCCAGATTGCCCCATGGGCAGGAACTGCGGTGGAAGTGTAACTATCAACCAAACGTGTCGCTTGCTATCATCTCGAAGCTGTCTTCAAGTGGGAAGCGTGCATGCCGTACTGACTATGGGCTAACCCATGGCCCAATTTTTGAATTCGGGCCGAAATCTTGATCTTCTCTAAAACTGCGGCTATAAGGGTAATTATAGGCGCTGATTACGAATCTGACGTCCATTTTTGATGGAGGCGCGATATTGCGCCATTTTAGCCTCCTCGGGCACCAACTCGGCGCCGCTTTAGCGCCATACAATTTTCGCCCCAATTCTGGGCAGAAAGCTAATCAGAAAGGTTGATGATGACCCTGATTGTAAGAACAGTACCTATTTTTATCGGCGGTAACATTTGAGTCATTTAACATGCGCTAACATGAAATGCAAAATTTTGTCATCAGCCGGGACCGATCCCTCGACCAATTTTTCATACCTTTTTTGGCACTCACAGGGCCGCTCAGAAAAAATGGAGCCTAGTTTTGTACTCCATGCATGTGCCCCTTTATCATGCAAAAAACCGTTTTCAAAAAGGGCTCCATGTCCTGAAAGACCTTCCTGGTAAGTTCAAAAATTCGATCGAAAAACTGCTTCTAGGAACAATTTTGTTCATGGTACAGCGCTGTAGGGCGCGCCAAAAACGGGTGTCCCCCAAGAGGCCCATCGCGCGGCGAAGGAAGAGACGCAGATGCGGCAAAGGACGAGTCGCAGCGCGTGCTGTGCGATATGAGACGTAGTATGGTACACTCTATTTAACCTGACGCCTAACCGCTACAGTATGCGCTGCGACTCGTCCTTTGCCGCGTCTGCGTCTCTTCCTTCGCCGCGCGGTGGGCCTCTTGGGGGATACCCGCCAAAGGCAGGCGTGGTCCCATGAGCCCGTTGCGTGCAAGTTCGCATTGTCGTCAAAGGGTTAAACTTGCTGAAGCAGTTGTTTTAGGAAGAGATGTTTCAAAGCCATAACTCTCGCTATCTCAAAGAGAACCAGGTAGCTGTAGCGCCCCGGTAGACTGGGAGGTTATGCGTTACAAGAATGTTTTGGTGTGCCTTTAATTTTTTTAAATTTCAATTCATCTAATTTTTTACTACTATATGGCGGGCGTTTTTATTGCAAAATATTTCTGTTATTAAGCTTGTGAAGGTGGATCTTCATTAGACGTTTTGCCATATGAGTCATCGCCGTTGGAAAGCTAGCAGCCATTAGTCGCACTAGTTCGACTTCTGCATGGCATGTTTGGGGATGCACCTTCACTTGCAGCATACTAGCAAACATCTAAATTATGTTGACAGGAGCACACTGAACTACAAAGGAGGAATGCTGAGGGCATAACATGGTATTATGTGCAACTTGGCTTTGTAATCTGATGGTTATAATTAATCGAATCGATCAAAAGTAGGCCTCGCCATGAGGACATGTAGTGACCTAGGAGCGTACGCTACTCCTAGGAGAAGGGAAATAAAAATCCCTCTAAAATTATGTTTCATGAACTGCTTCATCTACGCAAGTTCGTTTTAGGCAGTTCTGTTTGGAAAGGCAAAGGCAGAGTCAAAAATCACGTTGGACTATTTTTCACGACCCCCTCTCCCCTTCTTGAGGGGCTCGACAC